AGCAGGAAGCATCTTGGACCCCAAGAGGCTGCATTTCCCTGCAGCCTTGCCCCGCCCCACTCCCAGCTCCGCCCTGCCCCATTTCCCTGGCAGAGCCCTACCGCAGCCCTCCGTGGGTAGCTGCTCCAGGGGGATTTCCTCGCTGTCCTGCCAACAGCTGAGGGATTGGTTCCCCAGGGAGCCCCGGCCGCTCCCCTTCCACAGCAGCAGCCAGCGGATCCCGCAGGAGCACAGGAAGGGGTTCCCCACGAGGACCCTGGTCAGGAGGAGCAAGAAAGGATGCTGGGGGGGCTGTGGCAGAACTGGGGGAGCACTGGGTTCCGCCGGAGTTCGGCGAGAGGGAGGCAAAGCTCCCCCTGGCTCCCCGACCCCCATCCCCAGACTCCACCTCCCAGGCAGACCGGGCTTGAGCCAGGGGAACATCTCGTCCGCTCCGGAACCGGCAGAGCACAGAGACCTCAGCATTCAGCCGGGGGGGGTCGTCAAACCTGGGGAGGGATCCCCCGGTTTAGAGCGAGTGGGAAGGCTCCAGGGACCAGAAAGTTCACTTCACCCCATGTCCCACATCCTTCCAGAGCAGACCTGGCTCGGAACCCCCCGCGCGAACTGAACGGGAGCCCGGTTTCCAGAGGAGATCTAGAACCGGCAGTCGGGGGCAGAATTCGGAAAGGGTTTCTAGCCGCGCTCCAGGACGGCCGTGGAAGCCTGCTCCTAGAAGCGGCTCTGGAAAAGGTTTCTGTCTGTTCTGGAGCAGACTGAGAGGAGCGCAGGGCCCCAGAAGGTCACCTGTCGGCAGGATGGGAGTGCGGCACGGAGCTCCGGCGTGGTCGCCCACTCGCCCACACCCACACCCCCCGCCCCTAGGCTTGGGGAAGGAAAGGCAGCACCTGTTAGCAGGTGGCACCGGCTTACACCAGTTCTGGGGTTGGCCCACCCACGACAGCAGCTCCTCCCTGCTCCAGCCTGCAGCCAGTGTCAATCCGGAGTGACTCCGGTGCAGTCATGCTGGGATGTGCAAGGGGGCTCCACGCCCCCGGCAGCCCAGGGTTTGGGGAAAGTCCCCCCGCCCCTCCCCCGGGTTTACTTACAGCTCCTGCAGGGCCAGGGGGTAGAACGTCCGCCAGGAGAGGGACTGCAGGTAGTTGGAGGAGAGGTTCCTGCCGGCAGGGAGAGAGACGGGCTTTGAGCCGCCCCATCCCGGGACACAGAGAAAACCAGGCTCCCTCCTGGGCTGCAGTGAACTGGCCCAAGAGCTGCCCCCCTCCAGCTCCCAGGAGGTTAGAAAGAACCTGCCCCTCCCCCCCCCCTTGCTGGGCCATTCCCCTTCCCTAGCCGGGATAGAAATATTCCACAACACAGGGTCCCCCCCCCGCCATCGGGGGAGACAATTCCACCGCCCCAGCGCTCAGCCCAGCCCATCTATCAGGCCCTGACAGGACCCACCCCTTCACCACAGTAGCATCGCACAGTTGTCATGGTATTTATCCTCCCAAGGGCAGGAGGGAAACTGAGGCAGGGAATACTAAGCCTAGCCGGGATAGAAATATTCCACAACACAGGGTCCCCCCCCCGCCATCGGGGGAGACAATTCCACCGCCCCAGCGCTCAGCCCAGCCCATCTATCAGGCCCTGACAGGACCCACCCCTTCACCACAGTAGCATCGCACAGTTGTCATGGTATTTATCCTCCCAAGGGCAGGAGGGAAACTGAGGCAGGGAATACTAAGTGATCTTTCCTAATTTGCTGCCTTTGACCCCGGTGCCCCAAATTCTCACCTCTGGCCACCCCAACATATGTAAACACCCGTCCCATCCTTGCGCAGCCAGCCCAGTCCGAGGCAGCCAGCAAAGGGCACGTGTGGGGATCTAGGGCCTGCTGGCCTCCCTCCTCTCCCAGTGTGGACATGGGATCCAGACACCGCCCGTCCAGTGGTTACTCCAGGTTTCGTTCCTTCCGCTCAGTGTTAGGAGGTGATTTTAGGTCTGACTAGAGCCCTGCAAAATTCCCAGCCACGCAAAGCGCATCTGAGTTTGTGAAATCTGACCCCCCCCCCCCATGAGATCCGTCCCTTTGTGTGCTCTGAGCCTCTCCGAGACAGATTTCTGGGGGTGACCAGCGTTTCTCGCCCTGGGGGGCTGACCCCAAAGGGAGTCGCCGGGGGATCACAAGGTTATTTTAGGAGGCTCACGGCATTGCCACCTTTATTTCTCAGCTGCCTTCAGAGCTGGGCAACTGGAGAACGGTGGTTGTCCAGCTGGCCGGGGGCCCAGCTCTGAAGGCAGCACCCTGCCAGCAGCAGGGCCAAAGTCTTCCCCAATCATCCATATTGGTTCTCCTCCTTGTTGGCCAATTGGCACCTTTTCCTTGAAATCTGCCTAGCAACGGGAACAGAGGTTGGACAACATAGGCAGGAAAGGTCATATGACCTCAGAGAACCTTCCTAGTAACAGGAAGTTATACAGTACACAGTGTGCTGTCCACCAAATGGCAACTGGGTTCCTTCAGAGAAGATCAGAAGAAATAACTTTAGATACCTGTTTTTGACATTTACCTTGTTCCTGTCATCCACATTGTGGTACTCTGCCCCCAGAACACTTAGGCTGTGTCTAGACTGAATCCCTTTTCCGTAAAAGGGATGCAAATTAGACACATCGCAATTGCAAATGAAGCAGGGATTTAAATCCCCCCCGCTTCATTAGCATAAAAATGGCTGTCGCTTTTTTTCCGGCTCGGAGCTTTGCCGGAAAAAAGCGCCAGTCTAGACGGGGAGCTTTCGGAAAATAAAGCCTTTTCCGAAAGATCCCTTATCCCCGCTTCATTAGCAAGTGCGATGTGTCTAATTTGCATCCCTTTTACGGAAAAGGATGCAGTCTAGACACAGCCTTACTGTAGGTATAGTGGGGATGGAGTGTGGCTGCCCCCGAGCGCCCGCCCCCACTGTGCTCTGGAGCTGGGAAGGCTGGAGGAGCTTGCTTTGGGGCTGGGGTCGTGTGCCCTCCTGCTGGAGAGGGGTGGCTTGGCTCCCATGGGGACAGAGCCTGGGGAAAAGGGGCAGGAGCTGGGGGCTTGCCTTCTCCAGCCCCGCTTTCACCCACCACCCATCAGCAACACCCTACCCATGTCGCCCATCCTTCCTACTGTGCTGCTGCTGGCGGGAGCTCGGCCCTCGGAGCCGGGCTCCCCGCCCGCCGCC